TAGAAGAAAAGTTATCACCTTTGCTTCATTATGAGCCAATTTCATCCTCCGATATTCTTCTTGTGCTTGCTTTGAACGAAACATTGCCTGGACTCGTACTACAGATCTCTCGACACGTTCCTCAGCTTGCTTCCTGCTGGCTTTGAAGAAGTCCTCCTCTGCATCACTATCTTGATTATGATCACTGGGGACTGCATCAGGTTGAACCTGAAGCCCACGGAAGCCCTTTCTTTTTAGACGCCAACGTAATATTGCTTTCTCAAGGATCCCGACTGACCAAACAATCTTATGGTACTGCTTACGGACTTGGAAACCCCGGAAAACAGCCTGCATTACAGAAGAACTACATCAAATGCTATCCAGTAGCAACCGTGTCAATCGCATTTTTGCAGTCACCGTTAAGTAAAGAGTTTCGAACATAGAATCAGTGCTAGGAATACCATCGTAATGGTACATCCAGATAATACATATTAGGTTGTACATGAATAGGAAAATAGCATTTTTCTCAGTTTTCTAGTCATTCCGAGTTCTTGCAAGGTGCAAATCAAGAAACTCAACATCCCAAGCATATACCATTTAACTCGAGCATAATCTATCAAAAGAAAAAATTGAAAGATTCGTCCCCAAACTACTGTCTGAATAGCAAGTTGGTTGCCAAACTTTACAAAGATGCAAGTTCATCCTCAACCAATTGTCGCATTATCAGTCTCCAAAGACAGGAACCTATCAAAATCTATGTTAAATTATATTGTTTCCCTAGTGAAAAAATGTCTCACTTCAAGATTTTGGTACTGACACAAGTTGAGAAACAAACCCAGGTTCACAAATTTGGACATCTGGGGTTCATGTGACAATTTAATAGAGATTAGGATGATTATCGTTGTTGAGACATTGTACAACTATAATGAATGATCGAGGACAGAGGACTAACTTAAAAGTGCAATTTTCCTGTATCAAAATGATGAGAAAGAGCGTGCAGGACTCACTTGAATTCTGGTTGCCTGACGACGCATGTTGAGGAAATCCTTTCGCATCTTCCAAGTACGGAATCCAAATTGGATTCGTGCAGCAGCTTTGATCTTTTTACGTGAGTCAAAGTTGCGGAAAGCATGCTGGATCTTCATTGCTGCAATTATGTTTCGTGCTTCAATCTCTGGATTAGATGATCGAACTTCTTTTGTCCTAAGTTTGAATGAGTGCTCCCTAAATGCAGCCTGAATACGTGCAGCTGCATCCGCAGCTGTCCTGTAAGCTGCAAGAGTATCCTTCAGATACAACTCCTCCTCCCTGAAATTCTCAGAGTTCACTGAATCAGTTGTAGTTGTTTGCAGTGACCCACTGACATTTCCAGCCAATGTCATATCCTCAAAATGTGCAACCAAGCCCTTTTCAGCAAGATAAGCAGCTAAACCATCATAACCCTTTACAGAAGCAAGATCGGCAGCAGTGCATCCACCACGGTTTTGTGACGTTGGATCTGTGACTAAATTTGGCTTTGCCCCAGCAGATAAAAGGGATGCCACCATTTTCTCTCTGTAAGTAATTTATATTCAATCATACACAAGTTTATCTATATGCTATATGCTTTACTTTTTATAAGCCAAGCCAAACATGCATAAGCATAATGTGATAAATCAATTATTCAACTAGGAAAAATAAAAATTCCAACAATATTCCTACAATATTGTTACTCCAGTATGTTACATATAGTGCCATTTATTCCCCGTTATGAGAGGAATAGTATTTTTTTGAAAAATGTGTTGTTAAAAACGAAGGAAATTTTTTTGGGTTTACGTGTAGTATTATTTTATTGGAGAATGTGTAGTAGATAAGAAGAAAAAGAAAAATTAATTATAATTTAATAAGAAATAATGGGGGTCAAATGGGAGCATAACAACGTTACACTCTCTAGTCTTGGATATTTATCTTATCACACACAAACATATGCAAACAAATGCCCAAAATAATAATAGTACTCAAGGAGAGGAAATATTAATTTTGGAAAACGGAAACCGGAAGAATATATTATATCATTTCATGTAGAGAACATAACTGTACCTTCCATAATATGCAGCCCAATGAAGAGCTGTCCATCCGAATTTGTCTCGATAATCCAACGATAGGCCAGACCATGAAAATGGATAAACAGCCCATGTATAACCTAGAATGGCACATAAATGAATTACACCTTGACCCTGTTCATCACATTCAGAAATTTTGCGCCCTGCTAATACATTTTCTAGCAACCATTCTTGAAGTCTATTATGCAAGGTCAACTCAAACAAGCTATCTTTTGCCTGAGGAAAAGACATTTTGGTGTCATCTATTGATTCAATCAAATATTTCCAACTATTGGAGATAAGTGACGTTTTCTGAGCAAAATCTTTGGCTTCCTTCAAGGCATTTTGTGATACTTTAGTGGAAAAGATATCCAGGCTCTTGGATGATGAAAAAAGCAAATGCGCAAGCCTTGTCTGAAATCGAATTTTCTCCCAATCAGAATTATTTTCCAGAGGGGTAGTCCATTTATGCACTAAAGGAGCACGAAACTCAAAGGTCAAAACTTGGCTAATAGGTGTGTGGCCATCAAAACTCAAGTACAGATTCACTGATCCAGGAGATTGAGGTGAAACTGAACAATGAAACACTCCAGATTGAACAGCTACTGTAGGAACCATAGAATCTCCACAGACGAGGAATACATTGCTTTCGGGAACACGTAGTTGTCCTTCATGGAAAGACCCAACCACTAAGATCTGCGTGAAAATGATCGTTATTCAGCGAAGGGCTAACAATATTAATTGTCGCGTTACTTATCCTAAACATACAAAATAGATAAACAATGATGTGATAATAAAATAAATATCAAATGTTGTCTCCCAAAATCATATTGGGTTCAAAAAGTTGAACTGATAAAAACAGTCACAAGGCATTTATTTTGAAATAGAAGGAATATCTATTGCAAAATGATTAGTATCCATAAGGGAAAAAACGTGACTCGCTTTATTCTCAAAGAGTTAACATGTATACCAGTTTATTACTTTCATGTAAATAGTATGGGTTATAAGTGACACAAAAAGAACCTTTGTTTCTTCATTTGAAAGTCCCCATGCAGGTGCGACATTTGTTATGTTGAATATCTGCCCCCGAGCAGTGGAGCCACGGTTATCATTTGCTGGAGGAGTGAAGGACTGATAACCAGCT